CCCCAATTCATATTTGATTTTCTCATTCTTTGTGGCAACTCATCAATACAAGAATACAAGAGAAAACATATGAAGAGAAAGATCCATAAACACACAATCAGGAATCAAGATGGAGGTTTGAAGCAACCAAATTGAAGATTTACAGATCAAGATTCATTATTCAAGTCAGAAATCAATAGATTAAGGTATGTTCCACATTAATTCAGTTTCTTGATGACTTGGCAAGTTCATAAAATTTAAGTTTTAATAAAGTTCCAACAGTACAATGAGGCAGCATGCCGTTTGTTGACCCCTAAGGCTAGTTATGGTCTAAGAGCTGAGGCGTGCTGAGGTGTATGTCAAGACGGTGGAGGATAAACCACAGGCTGCAGATTGGGCTTTGAAGAGGCAAATGATGCATTCCGTGAGTAGGGGTGTTGATTGGATTGTATTGGTGTCAGATGACTCAGATTTCTCGGAGATGTTGAAGAAGGCAAGAGAAGCGAATTTGGGGACGGTGGTTGTGGGAGATCAGGATAGATCATTAGGGAGGCACGTTGATAAATGGGTTCCGTGGATTAGGGTGGAGAATGAGTTGGAATTGAAGAGCAAAATATGGAGAGAGACAGGAGTTTGGAGGGAGGATGGAAGCTTTTCCGTTAGTGAGTTCGACGATGGATTAACAGAGGAGAATTTTGACGAGCTTTTCGGGAGAATGGAGTTAGATGATGTGAAGATTTCATCCTTTTCAGAAGTTGATGAGGGATATGAGGAAGATTATGACTGGATAGGAGCGAGATTGTATCAGCGAGATAATGCTAATGCACAGCTTACAATTGGGAATTGTATTATTGATGATGAGGATGAGGATGAGGAGGAGGAGGGGGATTATTTATTGGATAGTGAAGATGAAGAGTTGGAAGATGCGTACTTTTGATGCTGTGCACCTGAAATATTTGAAGAGTTTTAGAAGACTGTTTCGTTGAATATATGATTGGTTTCGCTTCTTTTCTCAATAGTTAAGGTGCATTAACACAAGTATGATGACTGCTGTCCCATTGCTGAAAGTCTAGAACTCATTCCTTGACAAGCAATTGTGAAATTGCCAACTCATCTCTCTCTCTCTCTCTCTCTCTCTCTCTCTCTCTCTCTCTCTCTTTGTTACAACTTGTTTAGAAGACATTATTGTTCAATGTTAAATTAAAGGACTCTGCAAGGTTGTTGGTATTTATGTTTTACGGGAAAGGC